GTTGGAACTTAGCATGCTGGAAAAGTTGCTTCCTGGGGAGAATAATAATTTCAGAGCACCACAGATAGATTGCAATGTACACAGAACATTTAAAGCATCAGTTCATTAAATATTACAGTATTTTCTCTGCAGAATGGATGAGCTATTCATGATTAGGATTAGGTCCAATATTTATGAAGTATTCAGAAATGATTAATTATGTTTCATTTACAAATGAACTCTAATGGGAGACATTTTTATGGCAAGGGCTATTTTAATGAATTGCCTGTCTCCATGAATTCATGTTCAGTACTGGAATCATTTAGTTTTTTTCGCCTTTCTCCAGACTTTACACCTGTGCATTCAGTACTCATCTTGTCTTTTCTGTTTCTGCTGTTTCATTCCTACCTAAGACTATTCCCTGCTTGCCTAAGCTAGAGACCTTGGGCATTTCTCCATTTCTCACATCCCACTTCCTCAAGTCACATATTCAAATGATTCCTGGCTGTCCAAAAAATAAAAGTCTAGGGTTAATATAATGTGTAGAGATGTCTATAGGTCCCACCTATGACATAATGTTCCTCTTCTCCTCCAAGTTAGCCATATACGCTCTCATTCAGGCCTTGCTCGTGTTTTCTTTGCTCATGATGCCTTGACTTTTGTAGATGTCCTTACTTGCTTGCAAGCCAGCTCAAGCAACCTCCAAAGAATTAGCTTCCTTCTGCTGAGGCAGAACCAGTAATGCTCTCATTTATATTCTTCCTGGAGTGCTTGCAGGCATCTTGCTCATCCTCATTCATTTCTACATCTAACTTGTGCATAATACACTAAGATTATTTTAAGTCTCATTATAATGTGTTTTTGTATCTACTGTGTACACCATGTAAATTAAACATACAGTAAGCGCTAATGAAAGTTGTATGGCTCAACTGAAAAAATCCTCTTAAAAGAAGATACACGGCACAGCCCTATGTCAATGGGTATTCGGTGGGAAAAGCAGACTGTGGCATATGATAGTAAGAAAATGGATGGGGGTGAAGAAATTCCTGTTAAGGATCAGGTCCAGGCCCAGAGGAAGGATAGTGATAGAAACGCATCAGCTTAAAGCTTTATAGTAAATAGAAACTTCCTTTAAATATACACATAACACACTTTTACCCCATTACACCTTCTCACTCAGTGGCATTGCATTTTCTGTACCAGCCATTCTTTGACTCATGTAAGTATTAAAGTATGTGAGATAGTACACTGATGCACAAATGGGACTATGTTATTTCACGGAAATTAAATAAACAGATTCAAAATTTCAAACATTATGAAATACAGATTCTGCTGTATCCAGGCTGACATATCCTCTTCCAAACGTAGCAAGTGATTTCACCCCAGCTACAAAATCTTTTATGATCAAGAAAATTATAGTCTGGCCTCATGGTACTGGCATTATAAGTCAGATAGTTGGAAGACTGGGGAAGGAAAATCACAAATTGAAGACTTCCATAAGCTGTAATTGAGTTCAAGGCCAGCTTGGACAACTTAATTTCAAAATAATAATAAAAAAAAATACAACAGTGAAAGAGACATCGTCGAGTGGTATAACACGTGAAGGTCCCCAAGTTCAATGTTCAGTATGGAAGATAGCAAGGTCAAAAGACAGGAATGAAGGAAAGATGGAAATCTGTGTGTTAGATAGCTTGAAGCCTTGCCAGCTTGTGTTGTTAAGAGTTGATTACATGACTTTCAGGATTCTGTACAAGCAATGACTATATATGTGCACATTTAAAATGAAAGTAACCTGAAAACAACTTGCATTGCTTGTTTTTCCCTGAAGCAATGTGCAACACATGCCATGTGTTTGGGTAATGATTTCATCCCTGCCCTTTTCTACCAATGAAAATTACTTCATGGTGACTAGCTTCCTGAGTTCTTTGTATATTTTGGAGCCTAGCCCTTTGTCAGATGGGCAAAGAACAGAGAAGGAGAGCTAAGGAAGAGATACCTGGTTAGAGGGAGCTGTTTGGGGCTTAATGAGAAACCTGGCATTAGGGAAATTCCCAGGAATTCATGCAGAAGACCAGCAGCTAAGAATCCATGCAATAGTAGAGGAGCTACCTTAAATGACCGTCCCCTATAATGAGATTGATGACTACTTTAAATGCTATCATAGAGCCTTCATCCAGTGGCTAATGGAAGCAGACACCCACAGCTAAGCACTGAGCCAATCTCCTGGAATCCACTTGTAGAGAGGGAGGAGTGATGAGCAAAGAAGTCAAGACCAGGCTGGAGAAATGCACACAAACAGCTGATCTGAACAAGGGGGAGCTCATGGTCCCCAGTCTGAGAGCTGGGGAACCGACATAGGACCAATCCAGATACCCTGAACGTGGGTCAGTTGGGGAGCCTGGGCAGTCTATGGAGTCTCTGGCAGTGAAATTGGCATTTATCCCTAGTGCATGAATGGGCTTTGGGAGCCCATTCCCACTCCCTATGGAGAGATACTCTCTCAGACTAGATACATGGGAAAGGGCTTAGGTCCTTCTCCAAATGATGTGACAGACTTTGATGATCCCCCATGGGAGGCCTTACACTCCCTGAGGAGTTAATTGGGGGAAGATGGGGAAATGGTTATGGGAATGGGAGAATAGGAAGGAGAAGGAACTTGGATTGGTATGTAAAATATAAGATAGTCTTTAACTAAAATATTAATAAGAAAATCACTCTGGTCAATTACCAGCATTTATTATTGTTTCCTATTTTGTATAAAATATTTTATTTATCTTGAATACCTTCATTTACTTATATTCAGATTGAGGACATTGAAACATACAAAATAAGAAGATAAATTAACTACATCTCTTTATCGCAGGACCTTGAAACAATTTCTGATAGCTATTCACTGGATAGACTTGGGATTCTCAGTATAAAAAGGCCCTTTCCCGAGATCTGTTTGTAATCTTTATTTTTTAGTTTAAGAGATGAGACTGTATAGACATAGACTTCAGGGAATATTTGTGTAGGGAATAAAGACGAGAGAGTAGTACTCTTTTGACCACCCCTTATCAGAACATAGTCCATCTAAATACCCATAGCTTAATTTTCTCTTAACCAAGGGACATCACTGAAAAAAGATGCCTTGTTCAACATTTCTCTTAGCTCTTTTGCAGTGGAATGATGAAACATATCTGGGAGAGTACCAATAAATTGGATGATAGAGATCGCAATAGCCTGGAACAACTTGCTCCATCTAACTAAAGTGAATTTTAGAGAGGCAGATGCAACGTCAGCACTTAAAAGAGGAGAGTGTAAAAGTACATGAGGGACATATGGTTTAACTGCAGGGTAGTTTCTTCCTTTTCTTCAAAGTGCTTGTTGAAAAAATAATGAAGCGAAACCTGAAAGTTCTGAGGTTACTTCTGCCTTTTTTTTTTTTTTTTTTTTTTTTTTTTTTTAGCCTCAACCACATAGTACATTTGTTAATAATAATATGTACAGAGTAATCAAAGCCTAAATATAACCTGCTCTGAATACAGTTATTCAGACACTGAGGCACTGATATAGAAACGGGATGCAAAAATTCAGTGAAAAACTATATCCACCCACCATAGGACACTGTGGTGATTTGAATGAAAATGACCACTATAGGTTGCAGAGAGGCATTATTTGGAGGGATTAGGACTTGTGGTCTTGCAGTAGGAAGTGTGGTCTTGTATCGGCTCCGGGGCTTCAAATGCCTGGTGAGACCCAGTCCCCCCCACCCCATCGCTATCTTTCTCTTTCCCTCTCCCTCTTACTGCTGTCTGTTGGTCCAGATGTAGAACTCCAACACCATGTCTGTCTATGTGCCACCATGTTTGCATAATAATGGACTAAACCTCTGAATGTTTTCCTTTAAAAGAGTTGTCATGGCCATGGTGTCTCTTCACAGCAAGAAACCCCCCCCCCAGACAGACAATGAAGTAATTCGACTGTCTAGATAAGAGAACCATATTTGCCTTCCTGAGAAAATGGGCATGAGAGGTTCATAGACAGTGTAACAAAGTAAACTGAGCCCATTTATATTTGGAGGAATGCTGGAGTATAACGTCTGCTGACATGGACTTGACTAGTGGTATCATGATTACTAGTGGCTTGTCTTGATAAAAACCAATAGCTAACATAACCTCAAGTTCTTGATCTATCATAGAGAACTGAAATAAAACATGTCAAGTAGCATTCATACACTTGAATGGATGTGTATGTGGGATGTGTGTGATGTGTGAGACGGTCAGGGAATCAGATTGTTATCGTTTTGGCAACAGACTCATGCTCTCTGGAAAAGCAGCAAGCATTCTTAACCGTGAAAAATCTGTCCAGCCTCGTGCAACGATTATTGTTGTGGCTGGAATGTAAATGTCCCTTTTAAACTTGCATGTATTGAAGCCATTGTTCCTAGCTGGTAGTGTTTTTAAGAAGGAAGTAGATCATGGGGATGCTGGCTTCATAAACGCATTAATCTGCTGAATTCATGCTGTGTGGGCTATTAGATTGTGGGGTCTATTTGGAGGAAATAAATCACTGGAAGTCTGCCTCTGGAAGCTGCACTTTGACTCTTGATGCCTCAGCTTTTATCCTTTCCTACCCTTTCGCAAAAGCAAGCTGTCTCATGATGAGCTCAGGAACGGCATAGCCAACTGTGTTCTGAAATATTCAAAGCATGGGTTCAGACAAAATGCATCTCCTTTTACGTTGTTTCTTGCAAGCATTTTTTTATGCAGCTACAGATCATGGTTGGCAGATATATAAGTATACATGAGAATATTCAGCATCTGCCATGCCTCCCTGTGTGTGTGTGTGTGTGTGTGTGCAAGTGTATATGTATATATATAACATGTGTGTGTGTGTGCATGTATGTTTATGTGTGTGTGTTTAACCAATAAAATTTAAGAGTAAAGATTGTTTTAAATTAGTTAATTACTTGCATATCACATTGTCTCATAAAGTGGCAAAAATTTCACATATGTCATGGGATGGTGTTTCTTACTTACCTATAAAGAGCAGACAGTGGCCTCTTGTTTCCAGGTTTTGGTCTGTATGGTTTGGGTTCCCCTGCCATGTTAATATCTGAAAATATAAAACAGCATTTTTTAAAATAGCACGATAAACAATTTGGAAACACTGTATCTTGGGATTCTTATTTTTTTTTCTACTTACTTATGCAAATCCTTTTACTACATTTATTTATTGAGTAATTTATACTGTGTGTCTATGTGTGGTATTTTTTATGTGGTGCTTACATTTTGTTAGTGTGCATGTAAACACATATACAGGAATACATGTGCACATACATGGAAACCCTTGGTCCCCATCTGGTGTTTCCCCCTGATTTTTTTTGAAACAGGGTCTCTTACTGAACATGAGGTATGAAGCTCATCAGTTAGGCAAGGTGCTCTGGCAAATTAGCTCCATGCATCCCTTTGCACCAGTGCTGGAATTATGGGAACATCCCTGCCTCCCCAGTCCTTTCACGTGGCTTCTGAGAACTCAAAATCAGATTTTCATGTTTCTGTGGCAGATGTTTTACCAGCTAAGCAATTTCTTCATTCGTCCATACACAAATCTTATATGCTATTCTCTCTAAAAGACGTGGAAACTCCTCCTTTACATGGGACACGGTGGGAATTGTCATATCCACACACAAAGACAAATTAGACTCTTGTGTGTCTGGGTTTTATACCCCGCTGGGTATAAGAAAGAAAGGAAGGATTGAAGCAAATAAGAAATATAACATGTTGGAATATGGTATGTTGTGGAAAAAGTGTTGAACAATGAGAGAAAACTCAAGATGTGTGATGGAGACAAAGATAATGAGAACCCTTCTTATTTGTGAATTATTTGAGACCTCAATAATAATAAGTACTTGTATGGCATATATCTCTGTTCCTAAAGTTATTAATTTCCATCATTACATTGTCACCACGCTTACCATATTTACTGAGGAAGAAACAAAATAACACAATTAATTTCACAGCATAAATTTAATGATATATATTTCCAAGGTTGTCACATCCTGAACTGAAAACGTGACCAAGAGTCTGAGATTGAAAAGACAATATTGCATAGAATTTCCAATCTTTTTCTTAAAAGAAATGTTCAGCTTTTAAGAAATTAGAAATTTGGGGGCTTTAAAGTCTTATGTACCTCAGGATGGATGTCCTCATATTCATGGTACCCCTGTATCAGTTTTCAGTTTCCATTATAATTTGTCACCATTATAGACTTCTTAATGAAAACTATTATAATAATTGGGTATTTAAAAGGATAAGTATAAAGCTGAATTCCTACTTTTCACTCTTAAAAAAAAAACAATATTTAAACATGAAAGCTAAAATATGTAAAATTTAAGTGATAAGGAAATGATAATTCATTTATGAGCTCAAAATACGAATGATGATCTTAAACTAGACATAAAAATAACACTTGTCTTAAAATGCATTTATGAATTATATTACATTAAATTATTATGATTTTTTCCTCATCAAAAGTCACCTAAAGGCCATAGAAATAAAAAAAGAATCTTTGACAAAGTATTTGTTTCTTGAGCATATAAATATGTCATCTTCATCACAGGAAAATGAGTCAAAGAACTAAAAATAAATTTGGTAAAAACAACTAGTAACTTCACTTTATAGAAAAAAAATGTGGTAAGTAAAAATTTCTTATTATCATCAGTAATTGAAGATGTAAGTACATGTGGGTCACTGACTTCACATTTTACAGACAGATAACAGCAAGTATTGGCTGGCTAGGTTTTGGAACAAGTGGGACACATATATAATGTAGGTATTGGTATAAATTAGTGAGGCTACTTGGGACATAATTTTGCAGTTTTAAATAAAGGTTATTGTTTGAAATTGAATAATCGGTTATGAAAGCAGATACAGAGATCCACAGCCAAGAACTGAGCGGAGCTCCAGAAGTCCTATTGAAAAGAGAGAGGAAGGATTTGAATGAGCCATAGTGTTCAAGGTCATGAGGAGAGATCCCACAGAAAGAACTCAGGGACTGTGGGCAAACAGCCAGGGAGCCAGTATGGAACCTAACTAGGCCCTCTGCATGTGGGTCACAGTTGTGCAGCTCGATCTGTTTGTGGAGTTCCTAGCAGCGAGACCAGGACTTGTCCCTGGCTCTTCAGTTAGTTGGCTTTGGGGAATTCATTCCCCATGCTGGAATGCCTGGCCCAGCTCTGATGCAGTGGGAGGAGTTAGGAGTGCCTCAGCTTGACATGCCAAGCTTTTTTGACCCCTATGGGAGTTCTGCCCCTTTGTGAATGGAGACAGAGGAGTGGATGGGGATGAGTAGATGGGAGATTGGGGGGGGCAACAGAAGGAGAGAGGGGAAACAGGTTGGTATATAAAGTAAATAAAAAAATATAAACATATTGAATCATGAATCATCAAATAAATTACTGCATATGTATATCGTGTGACTTGAGAAAGACTGTTCCGGTAAGACACTTACAGGTAATTACACTTACAGGTAACAGGATAGATTCTTTGTACAGTTTTAGAAAAGGCATCATCTATAACAGAAAAATAAAGAGAAGTGGAGAGAGGACTGGAACTACAGGCAACAACATTGTTCTCTTGATGCGCTCTAGATTCACAGCACTGAACAAAATTAATGCCACTGAAGAACACTGACGGTGTAAGTTATTTAAATTAAGATGCAAACGGAAGGACTACTTAGGAACGAATTGTATGTAATTAGACTAATGGAAAGAAAGTAGAGATAAAGAATGAATTCACCAAAAGACTACCTCTAAAAGGTTAGTTTTGGGGAGGCCATCAAGAACTTTGAGATCAAACCACAGAGCACTGATAGAGGACATGTATTAGCCTCCTTGTATTATTCTTTTCAACAAATGTTTTATTTCTGTTACGTGGGATAGTGGATAACTAACATTTACAAGGAAGGTGAGAATAACAATGACAATATGTGTGTTATTGCATACCTGGTTCAGAACCAGCAGGGTTTAGTGAGCAAGTGCATTAAAGGGAGGTTGAGGGGTGGTGGAGAGAGGGTGATACATTTGGGGTGGATTATTGAGTATGAGGAAAGATTAGAAATCCCAGTGAAAACTTCAAATTTGATTCAAATTGGCTGTAATATACGACTCCCCCCTTGAGAATAAAACAAACAGGCAGTAAGTTCTTACGATTTGAAATAAGGCACTGTGAGTGTTGAGGCTGTTTGTAATTGTTTCTATGTGCTATAGTTGGAAAAAATAGAAATGAAAAATTGTAATGATGGCAGCAGAGTCTGCCTGTTTGTGACAATATGGTGATATCCATTGTATCTTTATATTTTAGATACCTTGACTTATAAAATGGTATCATCTTTGTAATTAAATAAAAACATGACACAAATCTGCCAATGAAAAATAGTCAGTATCCTTAAATTTTTTATAGTGTGCTGTCAATGGCTGTGAAAATATGCTTAAGAGTTGACAATATATTAAAACCAGTGGAAGTCTTTCATGACAAGCTGCTGCTGAATCTGTATTTCCAGACAAGATCAGCTTCCCATCAAAGACATTAAAAATGGACATGAGGGCCTGGAGAGTTGGCTCAGTACCTAAGAATACGTGTTACTTTTGCAGAGGTTTCAGGTTGGATTCCTAGCGTTCACACAGCAGCTCATAACCATGTAGCGGTTTTATTCCCTCTTCTGACTTGTGGGGGCAGCAAACATGCACATGATGTGCACACCATAAAATCTCATGAGACTCACGAGTTTCTTCTTAGCACACGACAGTCCTTGCATGTGGAATTTTCCTGCAACTACACAAAATTTATACTTAAATATGAATGTGTGTGTGTGTGTATGTGTGTGTGTGTGTGTGTGTGTGTCTGCAGTGCTTTGATGACCCTCACACCCAAAGTTTGGGTTTATGAACAGAGACGATTAATTTTGATTTAATTATTGGCATTATTGGCTCAAATTAACATGAGAAAATAGATAAAGTGAAGCTATGTTCCAAAGTTTTATCGATTATGCCTTAGACTCAAATGATTTAAACATGTCCCGATGGCCTAGTTACAACTATACTTTCCGTAGTAAGCTAAACAGCACCAGATATTAACTATCCTAAGATTTCATTTTTATTTGAACTAAATAAGCAAAACCATGATGCCATGACAAAAATAGAGGTAAAGCTGCGATACTGAAAAGAGTCAATGAGCTGAAACTAGATTGTGTTGAGGCAAATGAGACAGGTTTTATTCTGAAGTGTCTTTTCTCAGAAGCAAGAACCAGAGCAGGAAGAGACGCTCTGAGAACCCTCCATAGAAAACAACAGTCCCCATCACTTCTCCACTACGGCATGGGGCTGAAGATGAGAAGACTGTCCAACACTACCCCCAATGAATTCTCACTGTGGGCACCGACTTAACTTTTTAAAATCTTTCTTATTTATGTATCAATCCCAGTTCTCTCTCCCTCCCATGCACCCTGCTGAGCCCAATCCCATCCCTCCTCTGCTCTATTAGAGAAAGGGTGAGGCCTTCCATGGGGGATCATCAAAGTCTGTCACATCATTTGGGGCAGAGCCTAGGCCCTCTCACATGTATCTAGGGTGGGAGGGTATCCCTCTCTGGGGAATGGGTTTCCAATGTTCATTTGTACCTTAGGGATAAATACTGTTCCACTACCAGAGGCCCCATAGACTGCCCAGGCCTCCTAACTGACACCACACTCAGGGAGCCTGGTTCCATCCTATGCTGGTTTCCAGTCTCGGCACCGATTTAATTTTTGTCACACTGTTTTCATTTCTATTGTTTGTCCCTTTGACTATGAAGTTTTGAAGAGCTGTCATCATTTCACCCAAATTTTTTCTTCAGTACTTGCATTGTGTTTTGCTCAATCAATGTTCAGTGATTTAATTGCTAATATAAGGGATACAGGTCAGAGGATATGTCTTGTGCGGCGCTTATAATTCCAAGTAAGCTATATCAACACATTTGGCAAAGTGATAGTGACTTGAATCATGTTTTGATGATGCAGTTAGATAGGTTGCAAAATTAATTGTTCAATTTACAATAGGTTAGAAAAGTGCCATATTG